CCACTTTTTCGGCCGACCACCCGAATGTATCATTTTGCGAAACTAATCGAGCGCGTCGTTGCACGTTCAGACGTATCTCTCCGTGTACGAAGCAGCGATATCGCTCGACGATATTAAGCAAACACGCATTATGTAATTTCTCAATTCGCCGATATGGCGATTCGAATTCAGCACGGATTCGCGACACTTAAGCGGCCGAATGTTACACAACGTTATCGCGCGCGTGAGGGACCATTTCCGCGTATCGGATTTTAAATTAATACGTATCTAATTTTGCTCCACGAATGTATATCGTTAATGTTTCCCTCTCTCTTATCTTTCTCTCCCTCTCGCTCTCTCTCTCTCTCTCTCTCTCTCTCTCTCTCTCTCTCTCTCTCTCTCTCTCTCTCTCTTTTTCTCTCTCTCTCTCTCTCTCACTCTCTCTCTTCCTGTCTCGTGCCATTAGCCCCGGATTAAATTCGCGCGATCAATGTTGCGTCGGTTTTCTCGCCAATGTCGAGTGCAAGCATCGCATTTTTCCGCAAGGACGACTCTGACGTTCTACAGAGCTGGTTAGGGAGACTTTTCGCAGAGGTATGAAATGAATTCTTCTATTGTTGCTTCGCAACTGGGGAACGTAGAGGCAGCGGTTCCCAGAGAGGATTGTCGATTAAATTTATTTAACCGACTTCTTTTACTTTAATTTCACCGGTTTTCCATCTGCTTTGTTCTTTAAGTTGTTAATATGATTCCGATAATTACAGTTATCCGATCAAACTGCAAATACTTGAATGAGGTAACGTAACAATCTCTATCGAAAAATCAATGAGAAACACGTTTTATCGCAAAATGCAATCGAACAATATTTATCGTGGGTTTCCGTTTTCGTTACATTGGATTTTCAAGCGAATTTTTCATCAAAGGGTCATCATGGAGAGAGCTACCGGGGAAAATGATACATACATGTATTTTTCTTCGTGCTCGATGAAAAATATTTTTGCTTTTCTTCCCGAATAACATAAACACGTATTTGTACTTTCTGCTGTTAAATAAATATTATTTGCATTTAGACGAGGTAGTTTATTACGAACGGTAACACCTGCGCGGGTGCTGCAAATTCCGGCGCAGTTTCACATCGAAATACTTGTCGCTCGATATTCCGTCGTTCCCCAGAAACGTCAAATGTGAGTTTCCCTTCAGCGTTCCCCCTCAGCGTCGTTTTTCTCTCGTCAATACGGCATGTGTATCGTTGCGCGCGCGCGGTCCCAGTCCCCGCGATCTTGATTCCATTTTTCTACAAACAGTTTTCAATCTCGTTCTAAAGTCACTCATTCACAATCAACGTCGCGGGGAAATTGTCTCGGTCTCGACATCAATTCGCAATAAGACGGTGTGTACTTACCGAGTGCTAATAAATAGCACTCGGTATTTAATCGCTCGCTGCCGCGAGTGACGCGTTGACATTTGTGTGCTGCCGGCTTATCAAATATTTATCCTATGAGCCGTATACACCGCAGTGTACTCAATCGCACGGGCATTACTCTACGGCTGCAGAGTGAATAGAGAGAGAGAGAGAGAGAGAGAGAGAGAGAGAGAGAGAGAGAGGGGGGGGGAGAAAAAGAAAGAGAGAGAGAGAGAGAGAGAGAGTCGAGTTCCCTTATTGGCAACCGAGATAGAATCTCGTAGAGACAATTAGCCACTCACGGTGCGTGCTGTATTCCCGGCTCATTAACATCTGGATAGACACGGAGATCTTAACGATCTTCTCTACCCTCTTCCTTGCCCTCCTGCCACCCTGCCGTCACTCTTGCATACACGTATATGCCGCTTTCGCATTCCGATGTTAAGCTACCACCGGCGATCAAGTCTCTGATCGCTCGAGAGCTACTCAAATCGTTATATCGTTACGTACGTAAGAAGAATTAGGTGTGTATCAGCTTAATGCCGAGGCAAGTTAATACCGACCAATGGCGACGTGTGCGATGCACTTATATCTTGGCGTGCGTTTAACGGCGGAATAGCGGTTTCTTCCTCGGACGGCCGCTACATCTCGCGAGAGACGTTTGTTGCTCCTTAGCGGCCGCTCGTCTTCGCGAGACTTTGTGTTGGTGCTTTGTACTGTGCGTGCGTGTATGTGTGTACGTGTGTGTGCGCAACAATAACGGCGGTGCAAGTGTGCAACATTAGCTGGACATCTCGACTTCCCTGTTGTCAGAAAAATCGATCCTCGTAGATTCGGTCTACTCGACTGCTCGTCCTGCGACGACGGCGAGCGCGTCGAGTGCGCGCCTTTAATGAAGCGTACGCTGCCGCTAATGCGATTGTCAAATGCGGACGAGATGATTAACACGGGAGGACACTTGGTCGCCTGTACCGCGCGTGGATGCCGTCCATTCGCTGTGACGGTCCACCTGTCGGGACCTGTTCCGCATTGCAGCTTTGCTCCGACTAATTTTTCTCTCAATAATTGGCGCAATTGGTATGATTTGAGTCCAATCTCGTCGCAGCTTAATGAATAACGTGACTGTTTCAAGTCGGCGAAAGAGCGACTCGACTGGATTTTCGACGAGCGAGCAATTATTTCCAGCACACGCTGCGTCATGTCCCAGACTCTCTCTCTCTCTCTCTCTCTCTCTCTCTCTCTCTCTCTCTCTCTCTCGCGCGATTCAAACGTTAACAATATCGCGGGATAACTCCAGCCTCCAGCATTTTTCCTCGCACCGTCGCGACGCGATGCGCATTAGGGGCACGTCGATTTCACAGATATCGAAATGAAAAACGAGCCGCGCCGCTTGTATTTCGTTTTCTATCGAAAATCCTCGGCGAGCGGGGCTTTTCGGCGTTGCTCGCGACCGACGAGCGGCGAGGGAGGCAGACAGGGAGAAAGAAGGAGAGGGTGTACTTTTGGCGAACTCCCAACTCGGCCGTGTAACCGATCCCGATCGGGTGGAGCCACATGCAAATCCCAGGTCGAGTCGCTTCCTTGAGCGCGTTTCGTAGGAACCCCCGCATTCATTACTCGCGTGTCACTGGAGCTACGAAAATGTCGTTTGCTCGGAGCAATCCGTAGAGACCAGGAGTCGTCCTATGCGCTCTTACGGCACGCTGCAATTGCGACTGCAATTGCAGCTGCGCCATGCCCTCCTTCCGCGCGGGCACCTAAAGGAAGACGCGCCCGCGTCTTCTTCCCACGATATGCGTCCTACATCGATAAAAAAGCGCGGAATAAGTAATATCTCCAGGCGCCACACGCGAGAGTCTTTCTTTTTTTCCATGCGAGCTTTCTCGCGGGACATGCGAACCTCTCGTGACGGATTTATCGAGGAGCGATTTTTCCTCGAAAAATTCTGCGAGAGATCGTCGGGTCTCCGTCGCAATCCTCCCTCTCTCTCCCTTTTCTCTCTATGTCTCTTTCTCTCTGTGTGTGTGTGTGTATTTAACATTGGATTCTTCGATCGAATTTTTTGTGTTTTTTCCAAGAATACTTCCATTCCTTGTATTGTAAGCCACGGATGAGGAGAGTTCTTGTTTCGCGCGGGCAATTAGATCGTCTGGTTCTGTGCATTATGTGATTCACAGTTATTACTGCAAGATCGTAGACAGAAAGATCGTGCATAATTTTTTCCGTCACTTCTGAAACGCATTCGTCTTCGCCTAGTGAGAGAATTCTTCCGTTGGAAAACGAATTTGTTCGTAGGATCGAAAATTTACGTGAAAATTTCCAGAGGAGCTTTCTGTTTGCGGTTACACGATACATCGAGTATGCCGTTTTTCCGCACAACTTGTATCGTCTTTATACATACAAAAGGAGTAAACGTATCTTTCACGATCTGACGTACATACCAAGGACGCAATAAAGTGCGTGAACTTGGTATACTCGACGAAGCACTTGAATATACAATCTCGCGGTTATCGATGAGTGTATATTCATATTCCGCATAAAAATTGTCCTACGTAGAAATTATGATTACTCGCTGCTGCCAATCCAAGAGGGGAAATATTTTGTTTTCCAAAGAAAATAGAGTGGAAGAAAAAGAGAATGGAAGAGAGAGAGAGAGAGAGAGAGAGAGAGAGAGAGAGAGAGAAACATCGAACTTGAAGTTTTGCGAAATATGTCGACCGCGAGACGTGGCTAGTTTTCGCGTTGCATCGCCGTCGTAGTCATCTATTTCCAGCACGGAGAGATTCGATTTCGATAAAAAGTACTCCACATAAAGAAGGCTAAGGCCGGATGGCTCTCGGTACATATTTGGTCATACACGCGCAGCCGATATCGGGATAATGCGGTCTTTTTATTGTATCGTATCGCGATAAACCATAACGTTTTCCTGCCTGAGCGAGCACTTCCGCCGCGCAGGAGCTTTGAAAAATTATTACGGGAGATGCTTACGGGACGAGCTTCTCCCGTCTTTTTTCTCCTGTCTTCAAGTTTCACGACGTGCGTATCGATCAATTGCCGTGCTTTCTAGCTCCGGCAGGCGTTCTTTAATTCCACATATGGAACACATCGACATTTATCCTCGGTCGCCGCATATGTGCGGAGCCTTTCCATCGCCCGACAGCAGACATAACAAACGCGCAATAATAACAAACGTTCCTAATGAGAGAACGGCCCCGAGAAAGGAAATAATTATCGTGCGCGAACATTCCGTCACACGCACATCGGAATCTATTCTAATGCAAAGCATTAAGAATTTACAAACAAACACCTTCCCCCACAAGCGAGACATGAGTGACTTCTCGGTCGTCGTGTTCCTGAATACTTCATAGGGCTTAAAGTGTATCGCGCGCTGCGGTCTTCTGCAAATTACCGGCGCAGGACGCGAGCGGGCTCGTGGATAGGGGGCTCTCGGAGAAAAAGGGCAGATTAGAAAGGACGAGAAAGCCTTGAAGGAGAAAAGTCGCGCGGTATGCGGGTGGCACGAGGAGCCTTCCTGCAGAAAGGAGAGGGGGGAGAGAGAGAGAGAGAGAGAGAGAGAGAGACGGAGAAAGGAAGAAGGAGAGAAGGGTGCTGGAAGTAGGCTGGCGGCGCGGCGTGGGGCGCGGACGCGCGCGAGAGGGTGGCGTGGAAGGGTCGCACCGCGACCGCGCACGAGGGCGGACATCAGTCCACGTTCGAGCGGCCGCCGGTATGGGCGCTTGGATGGATCGGTCGATGTCGTGTCTCGCCACCCTTCGTCTCAATCTCGTCTCGTGTTAGGAACTCGCGGTCGCGAGACTGTCATCCGGCATCGTCAGGTGTGTCAAGGTGATCGCGCGAGAGAAAGAGAGAGAGAGAGAGAGAGAGAGAGAGAGAGAGAGAGAGAGAAAGAAAAGGAGAAAAAGGGATGTCGCACGTGCGGCAAAAGGACGAGCGGAGTGCCGGTCGAGCGAGCAGAAGAGCGTCGTCGTCGTCGTCGTCGTTGTCGTCGTCGTCGTTGTCGTCGTCGTCGTCATTAGTGCGGTGAACGCGCGGAGTGCCATCGAGACTCGATAGGGCTTGCCGAACGATCAATATTTCTCGTCAATTTGAATATCGCCTTTCCGCCGTGATCCGTCAGATCGAGCCGGTTGCCGATCTCGCGCAATCTGTTCCACGTCGGGAGTTTACGTGCGGCGATTCTGCGAGGCTTAGCTGCGAGGATCGCGACCGGTCGATCCGCGTTAAAGTCTCCACGTGGTGTCGGTGCGACGATAAATAGACTCGCGACTACCTATCGTTCACACTTATCGGCAAGTATTTTATTTTCCGAAGCGCTCGATCGAGGTCGCAGCAGCTGTGAGATCGGACCTATTGTCACCGATATCGCGCGGCGCGGCTAATAAATATTGATCGCTCGAGGCTCACACGAGAAAAGTCTCCTCCGAGAGGAGGATCGAATATCTGTGATGACTGCTGACTCCCGCCGGTGTGCACGTTCGTCCGTCGTTACTTGAGCTCGGGACGCAACTTGGTAAGGAAGTACCTGGAAAAGTATAAGCACGACGTGTCGCGCGGTTGATTCGCATTGTATAGCATAATCGAGAAAGCTCGAATTAATCGATTCGAACGCTCCACGAGCCCCGCTCGGCCTCATACGACGCCTGTGTGTATGATGTTTGGAACAGCCGGGACTCTGCACGCGCGTAAGGTCGCCCTGTTGAACTTGCACCTTGACGTGAACCACGTTTTTCCTCGCGATCATGGTGATTCCCCTGGCGTGATTGCCGAGCCGGCAACCTTGGCTCGGATTAACCAACGCCGTGCACGGTGACACACGTGCATATCCCAGACGTTGATCGTTACGTGAGATTGCGAAATGCCGCAACCCCTACCCTTTCCGCAACCCCTTTCTGTTGGCGGGCGCGTTTCATTGATCATGATGAAAACGTAGTCGCTCCGGGATGTTTCCTCTAATTGATCTCGTGACGTTCGACGAGTGCTTGTCCGTCTCCTCCAGTCGCGAAATTCACGCGCGCGCGCGATGAGCAAGCGGACGAACTTTCGCGAAAGGACGAGTCTGCCACGAGTGCGACGAAACAGTTGTATCGGACGTGAAGTGTGCGCTGCAACAACACGAGTTATTTGAACAGCTACACCCGCGCGAGATGCGCGTGCATTTGCAGGTAGCAGCGCGCACCGAGTGATTCATATAGATACGACGTAACGAATATTGTTCGCAGCACGCACGCCGATAACGAATCTATCGCGACGCTTTAATCGTCGCGATCGGCCAGACAGGAGCTGGCCGATAATCACGCGTCTCCGCATGGAAATTTGCGGACGCGTGTTTTTCGCGCAACACGTCGCAGGTGGGAGACAAGATAGACGGTGAGGGACAATGTGCGCTCCCGCGATAATTAGTCGCGACGGCTGATGCGAGAGGAACTCGAGCTCGGATCTGTGTCCTCGCCACGACATATTTGCGGATTCTCGCGAGCGAGAACGACGGTGAGAAAAGTTGGCAGAGCGGGCGATATCGATTTAAAGCTCTCGCTCGGTCCGCGGAGAATCGCTGTTCTATTGATCTACACGATAGAACGGTCATGCTTCACCGGAATATGCACCCGCTGCGTACTATATTCGTAATTCACGAAACCCTTGCGAAATTACTCTTCCGGCCACGCGAGTAAATCCAATCGGACGTTAATCGGCGTTACTTCGCCCCCGGCAGAATCGTAGTTAATCACCTCTCCAGCGGCCTCCTCGCGCCGCGGCTTCGTTCGGTCGTTGTTTTTGCCGCGCCGGCTATAGACGCCCTCCTCGACGAAGCGGCACGCTCTCTCGTCGGCCTGAAAGCGCCGGCCGTGTGCCATTTTAATTGCGCTTTAATCGGCGCTCGCCGTTGGCCGCGTTTCGTGTTACTCGCGCGTAATTACTGGCGCGTGCTTAACAGCGCGAGTGCATCTAAGGCGCTTACCTAATTACGACGTTTGTACGCGCGTAAAATTGTGCGAGACACTTCGCGACGATAAGCTCGCCGACTCCTCCGGGCGGATCTGTGTACGCGCCTTGGACCGAGTGTTCGTCAGGCGAATCGAATGATACGTTTCGTCGGGCTTCGTCGGCGGATAATCGCGTTCAGATGACGCGGAAACCGGATTACAATGTCTTCCTATTGTCTCTGTATCCAGCTCGTCGCTTCGTTACGTACATACACACACACACGCGCGCGCGCGCGTGCGCACGCAGATTACACAATCCCGAAGGTACAAATCTCCGAGAGAGATCTTAAGAGGCGAAAAGAACGCGCGTGAAGAATGGCTCATTAGGGCAAAGAACTTTCAGATTAATGCAAAGTTAAATGATACACCGGTCGACTACACGCGCAACGTGTGTTATTTCGAGTTAATTAACGACGCGCGAGGCAAATTATTTACTTGTAAGCAAACACCGGGCTGGGCTAGGTTGCCGTAGCGCGCGTGCTGCGGTTTATTAGCCGATGAAGAAAGTCTAAAAGAGGAGGGAGCAGGAGAAACACACGAGAGACAAGAAGAACCACTCTGCGGTGCATGTTACGCACGCTCTTTATCTGGAACGGGATTAAGAGCAGGCGACCGTGTATAAGTGGAGAATCACAAACTTACCTCCTCATTTTCATTCTCTTTAATTTGTCTTATCCGCGACGCGGGATAATTTATTTGCCGAAATAATGAAACCAAAATCGGGGAGCGCGTATGCCGAGTCGCGCTCTGAATTCTTTCATTTCGCGTAAAACTTTGCGCCCCCTTTGCCTCCTCCCCCTCGACTCATCATCCCCTCAACGCGACCCAATTAATGAAGATACGGCTGTATTTAAATTTCCCCGTCCGGCTATATCTAGCCTTGTTCTACTGTGTGCGCTTCTAGCGGTAAAAGCGGATTTTAATCGCGAGCGCGTTCAACATCGGACAATGTTATTCCTCGAGTGAAATAGTGTCTTTCGTTTTCGTTTCTTTATCTTCTCGTTTGCTGGCTCGCTTCCGCTCCCAGGGAATTAATGCCTCCTTCAGTTATTTCCTGCACAATAATTCGAGACCCCGGGATTGTTCTCCCGAAATTATTTTTCTGGCAAAGCGGCGTGAGAGGCGGAAAAACGCGCGAGGTACTCTCTCTCTCTCTCTTTCTCTCTCTCTCTCTCTCTCTCTCCCTCTCTCTCTCTCTCTCTCTCTCTCTCTCTCTCTCTCTCTCTCTCTCTTTCTTTCGGCCTTCTTCGGCGTCGCGGGCAAAATGAAACCGCGCGGAATTTATTACATCTTTTTTCAGCAGCCTCTTACGGTCAAGTAAACGCTCGGCGATGCGTATTCGCGAATACAGGGAGCTTCTTGCATTATTGCGCGCGGAGAGCATTATCGATCAGATAATTCTCTATTAAATCGAGCAAACTTGTGCAAAAACGAGGCGGCTCCACGTGAAAAACGACTCTCGCATTCAGGCTTAATGAGCAGTGAGAAACTCAACGCGTCTAAAGAGGATGAGAAATCCGTCCGTTAAAAAAAATGATCTCCGCCGATATAAAGGCAGCTGTTGTGAAAAAAAGAAAGTTATCAACGCACGCGCTCTCAAACTTTCCTCTCAATCCCATGTTATAGAGCCAAATTCCTTTTTGCCAAACTTTCCAGGGGGAGGGGGGTATAGACGACGAATAAACTTTTGCGAACACCGAGTGGAATATGTCGAATTCGTTGCGCGCTCTCGTGTGCGCGAAGGATATGCGGCAGGAAGGGGCGGAAGAGGGCAACGATCGTTTTTCCAGTTCCGACAAATGGACAGGAATCCGCCGAATCATGATTCTCTCGCGGAGATAAGGCGAACAAAAAGTTTTTTCGCTGCTGCCATTCGCAAGCGGCGGGGTTCATGTAGATTTTTCCCCCAGATTTAGCTTTATAGAGTCGGAGCGCGCCGAAAGTGGTGACTTCGTCCACGGAAAAAGCTCGCTCAGAACGAAAACTTTGTCGATTTGTGGTTACGCTTCACTTCTTCGCGCTTTAAGATGTTTAGAGAGATGAACTTCTTGCATGATCCTCCCTTCTTCTGCACGCGCGCTTTCAAGAAGTTGCCTGATAACGTTACAAAGATTATCCGCGAAAGTAAGAACGACGAAAGACTGGAATAGAAGTTTCTCTTTATTAACACCGATCCGGCGGAACTTTGGGGATATTATAATACTTGGCGTTATAATATTAGCATTCTCATTTGTCGAGCTGAACGTACAAAGCGGTCGATTTCGCACTGTACTCCTGCGAACATCGGCACCGTCGGTGATGATCAGTCGTACTTGTTGGTGAAGTACGTGTCCACGGCGAACACCAGGGCCGCCAAGATCGCGAAGCAGCCGGCCGCCACCGTCTGGTCGCTGTACTCCTCCAGATACGCGTGAATCAAATTAGTCGAGAAATTATCCCAGTCGCGAATCAGAATGAGGCCGGCGGTGCAGCATAAAATTGCTCCCATCGTCGTGAACATCAGAGACTGCGAAAACGGAAAATTGCGCATTGCATTTCACGCCTGTCGATTTCACAGTCGCTCCGTTGTAACTGTTGGCACGTCCGGGAAAAGCTCATCAGATCGGATATGTTCGTTTGCGATAAAACGGGAGAAAGATGAATTTAACTTGCTCGACGAAACGCGAAAATGACAGCGAGACAAATCGCGCGACGAAACTCCTTCTCTCTCTCTCTCTCTCTCTCTTTCTCTCCCTTTCTCTCTCTCTCTCTCTCTCCCTCTCTCCCTCTCTCTCTCTCTCTCTCTCTCTCTGTTTTTCTCTCTTTCTGCGTGCGATTTCTCAACTCCGCTCTCGGGGTTCGGAACGATTGCGTTTTTAGACGGCCGTGACGTATCCTGAACCAAATCAAGTTTGAATAATTCAAACATATAGGAAGCGTACGTAGGTTCTCGGGAGGAGCGGAAATTGAAGCAGCGACGACCGGAGTTTGCTTGATGGATTTCAGCATTCTGCCATGTCGAATAGCATTAAGGGATCATCTCTTTGGTGTTGAATTACGACCGGTATTTCGCGCGCGCGTGCGCGGGCTATTTTTGCATCCGGCGTACTCGGCGTTATTTTGCATTTAAATTGAGAGAAATTGTGAGAACTGCGCATCTTTTCATACAAGCCCTCATTACCGAATTATTTTCATGCCGCGAACGCGACAACCGCTTTTTGTACAACTCACCGTCTTCTTCGGCAATCGCTCGCCCATTAAATGGCTCATAATGAGAATCGCGTTTATGAGAATGTAACCGCACACTGCCACGTGAAATATCGCTATGTGGTGTATGTCAGTCGGCCGCATCTGATTCTGCTGGAACGGCCCTGCCACCAATCCCGTTGCCACGACGCACAGTACCTGCAACGTCCAATTCCTATCTCTCATTCTGTCGGCTTTGCAATTCGACACATCGTGCATCGTTAAGGGAAACGCGACATTGCGCTTTACACCACGACAATATGAGCGTCGAGTCGTGCGAGTGTATGCCTTGCGATGCAAGATTGTGCAAGAATCGTTCACGCCAATTAAGCGAAACACGCGATGTACGCGACAAGATACGAGCGGGGTGCACATTTACGTCTGTGGCCGCGCACGGGAAGCAGGGTGTGCTATCGCCAAAGTAAAAACACCCATTTAAATCCCTGCTTGAACATCCGCTCGACTACGGGGGCAGGGAGGAAGGAGTGTATTTTTGCTTAGCGCTCGAGTCACGGAAGTGGCAGTAATTAAGATCGCAGTAACGAGCGGTTTTACCAGTTCGATAATTTTGCAGAAAAACGGCGCCTCCTTGAGATGCTTCTGCAATCTCGAAGAGAGGCTGGGCGCGGCGGTGGTGGCGGCGGCGGCGGCGGCTTCCTCAGGCATCCTCGAATCGCGCAAGTTTGTCACACTTTCCTCGGTCTCGTCGAATGGACGCGCGTTTCCTTCGATTACAACGAAAAAGAAAATGTTCGTCGACACACATTCGAGGCTGCGACGACTGCTGCAACGCTCAGCGTGCGCGCGCGCGTTTTCAACTACGCCCAGAAGCGGCTCCACTCAACTATCGACTTGTCAGTGGCAGCATGACACTGACTAACATTAAACCGCCTAAGTCCCCACTTCCTCGCTACCTAAATACATTTAATGCGTCGTTGCAACAGTTCTTGGTACTCAACCTTGCGGAGGGTCCGAGACCCGATCTGTGCTCCACATCTCTTTGAAGTGACGGATCTTACCATTGCAAATATGATCCTCATGAATGCGCTGAAAACGGCGTTCCGACGCCGAGTCGATTCTGCTTAATGATATTTCCCCTCAGGCGATGTTAACGATCCGCGACAAATTGTTCGCGCAATGAGCGAACAATTTGTCGATACAATACCGGCAAAAGAAGCATTACACTCCCTTCTCGCGTGACACGACCGCTCGTATTCGGAGCGCGATCATAATTGACTTCGATGATGTAGAACAGGGAAATGCATTCTCGCGAGACTTTCTTTACGAGGCGACATTAACAACTCGAGAGAGGCCAGTGAAGGAAGTAATCTAATTCCACTAAGAATTACGATCCTCCAATGGAAGGGTGTACCGGCGGAAATTCAGCGGACGAGCAAACTTTGTCGCGACGACGACGAAGACGACGATCCAGCGAGTTTCATGACAACGCGGAAGATAAAGGATAACGATTGCCCAAAGTGGCGAACGGAGAAATGCAGCGAATAACTTTGCATCTCGCCGCGTAGTTCCCTCCGGGCTCGTTGTTGCCGCTCTCTCTCTCTCTCTCTCTCTCTCTCTCTCTCTCTCTCTCTCTCTCCCCCCCCTCTCTCTCTTTCTCTCTCTTTCTCTCCCCCCCCCCTCTCTCTTTCTCTCTCTCTCTCTCTCTCTCTCTCTCTCTCTCTCCCCCTCTCGCCTCTTCTTTCTCTTTGCTGGTTTTCGTGAATTGAAAAATTCGAGTCGTGATCGAAGCGACGCGTGTCGTTAATCGATTTACTCCACTGTCTCCCCAATCGTTTCATTGTTTGCTCGTTTTTACCGATTTCTCACGCAGGGATCCGCCCGAGAGCTTACGCTGTTTTGCGTTTGTGCAACGTGTACTCGCGAACTCGTTACATTCCGGAACAACGGGATTTTCTCTTTACCGTAAAGCGAGAACTTTTGCACGGCTGCGAGAGCTTCCGCGAACAAGTTTCGAGGAGAACTTTGCGCTTAGGCTTACGTCGTAGTTCCCGTCGGTGAAAAATTCACGCTTGTCCTGCGATCTAAACTCGAACGTTATTTTTACGGTTTCCACGCGGCGAGCGCGGGAAATATGTCGCATCTTGGATGGGAACCTCGCGCGAAAACACAGCACGTACCTACACTATCCACCTACGTTCATCTTATTGCCACACGTACTACACATACACACGCTCTGCCGCTCGTTTAATTTATCATAGCTCCTTCCGAGTCTCTCCCGCCGCCGCCGCCGCCGCCGCCGCTGTCGCCGGCTCACTCCCTTTTTCCCCTCCGCGCCACTTTTCTTCTTCTTCCCACAGTTAACGAATTCTCTGCTCGCTTCCACCACTCGTCGTCTCCTCTTTCCCCGGTTTGATCTTCGGCGTGTCTTGCAAGGTTCATTAGGTTAACATCGTCGGTGATATCACATTGCACGAGATCTGATGCTGCGTCGAGTTTTTCTCCTTGAGACTGCAAACGAACGTCTGTAGGGATATTCTTTTTTTCTCTCTCTCTCTCTCTCTCTCTCTCTCTCTCTCTCTCTCTTTTGACGGGCCGTCACAAACGCGGACCAATTATGCCGCACGTGCATGCATCCTGTTTCAATATTATTGGCATCACAGGGAACGTCAATGCCCCTCGGTTATACCATAAAATAGAGAATAGAACCGAAATGTCGGCGTGTATTGCTCTGCGAAACCAGTATAATAATTAACGCGACAAGCGAAATATCAAAATGCGAACAATTCCGATCAAACGCAGGGATATTCAGACCAGCGTCGAATCATAAAGCTCTCCCCTCCGCGCGTATTGCGGGACCGATATTGCGGGAAAATTGCGAAACACCCGCTGCGGAATTTCCACGCTGTTAATCGGTCGATTCGTCGGAGATTCTCGCAGCTTTCGCGGCTCCGCGCGTAAATCGCGCCACGATGAAATCGCGAAACTTCCTCTTTTCCCCAGCGCGAAATGATTCGATTACAGCCGGCGATCGATCTGTACCCCGTCGTTTTACGCCGCTCGCCGCGATTTCCGCTTTTCCCGATAAGTCTCACGCTGTTGGCGACACATTCCGCAAGATTGAAGGCGTTACAATATATTTCATTCGTAAGAAGGGATCCAATAACTGTCGCGCCGTGTATCTCCTCCGATTGAATACACGCAGTTGAGCAACGAACGCGAGATAGAGTCGAGCGTAACTTGTAACGATCTCTTTCCCGCCGTTCTTTATTTTTTATTCAGCCGCGCGGATACTTTTTCACTGCTTTCTTCGTACGCGCGAGACTCCCCGCAGCGCTTTAGGAGATGATTCGAAATTGATTGTGCCGGCACGCGAGAAGCCATGCGTAGCCTCCGCAAAATTATTAGCCAATTATTGGCGATAATTTCGGTGCCGCTGCAACCGTGTGACAACATGTCCCGTAAAAATCGTCGCAGGTGGTGCAACGCGGGCGCGCGCGCACGCGCTATCTTCCTCCCTTAAAACAAAGTGTTTTAATTAAACGCCGAGCCGAGCTTTATTGTATCGCGCTGCGAAGGGCGTACGCGGGGGGCTTAATAACAACACGAGCGAGTAGCGGCAGCAACGTCCGCGCGATTTGACACCTTCCGATCGTTTAACGCTCGTTGTCGGTCGTGCGGGCCGAGCACAGCAGCCGATCTGAAAAGCGGGTGAAAGCTCTCCGCCCGCTAATTAGAGCTTTCACTCCGTTTACGGTCGGCCGCCAACCTATATATTTCCGCGCGGCGCAATCGCGCCCGATCGGCGTCCGCAATTTTCTCTGTCAAATCTCGTTCTCCCGAGCGAATCGGCGCGAGTCACACGTGACGCGCGAAAAGTTTTACGGAAACGCGATCGCGGCTTTGCAGCCCGCCCGGCGATAAGAATCGCCGATTCTATCGGGGCGCGCGCACGGCGAAAATATATTCTCGCGCCAAGCGAGCCAGCACGTTGCGCTCCGCGCTCGCGCAACGATACGCGATACGATTGCCGCCTGCATATATTTCGCGGCGATATCTCCGGTACGCGCGTTCCCGAAGAGATTCCGCGCGATGCCGGTTTGTATAAAGTCGCGCAAAAAACAGTTCCCGGGCAGTTGGAGTATTTTGTTTATGCATCGTCAATAACGGAGAGAAACGGATCCGCGTCGTCGTGCGTGTGTCCGGTTTTGACCGGCGCTTTAAATAGAGGATTAGGGAAGAGCGATTTTCTATCTTTGTTGTTCTTTTTCCTCCGCCTAAACGAATAACACCGGAACGGCGTGACTTTGGCGTGTAAAACGAGTTTAAAACGCGATGCGGACGAAATTGAACGGGCGCGCGCCCCTTCGCCGAGATGAAACCGATTACAACATATCGAAAAAAAAAATAGAGTATCTAATTCACAGCGAGCGTCATTTGCATCCTTTGTGAGCTCGTGAGGTGTCACACGCACATATAAAAAAGGAAACAACGTTGATTACATCGACTGTCGCGATGACAAAGGAGAGCGATCGAAATAGGAAAAGGCCGCGCGAGAGCCACACAACGAGTAGTCCGTTCGCAACGTCTGAAAGATGAATATCATTCTTGTCATTCGGCTAATTATCTATATCGGATCCGATTTCTACGAAGAAAGCCGGTTTTGCTTAATAACGTCCACTTTGATCGAGCTGCTCGTTTTGTCCCGGCCGGGCGATTTAATCGACGCTGACGCACCTGATACCTTATCATCGGCGCGATCTTCGCTTTCATCTGATCGAGCCTATCGTGTTTTAGGCGGCAACCCGGATCCCCGCAAGTTGCGTCGCGTTGACGCACAATGTGCAATTATGTGTCGTCGGATGTGTGATTTTCCGGAGCGACGGACTGCCAATTACACGGGATATTTGCTTTTGTCGCGCCCGCAATGCCACGCTCCTATTTCGCGGCCGCCGCTAACAGCAATTTGCACTTTCGCATTACGATCTTGCCGCCGCGGGTAATTACCCTTGATCTCTAATAGAATAATCGACGTTTACTCTTACTCTCGCGCGTGCATCTCCTGCCCGCTCTCGCAATAGGAACGGCACAAGCGCGATAGCCCATATTTCGGTGTCAGCGATTACCGTCGTAACGTGTAATCTCCCCCGTGAAAACTAATATTCCGATAGCCTGTAATCGGTATAATGCCTCTTGATAATTTAATGCAACGATACTTGACGTTTAATTCTGGCATTAGAGTTATAATATATTAATGAAATGAAAGCTGCAGAAGAGCGCGTCTGCGATGGCTTTTCTCTCGCATTCTCTGCCAACTTCCTCGGTCATTATGTCATAGGTGTGTTAATTACGACGATACAGAAGAAGAAATTGTACGCGTTACGTGTATCCTTCATCGCGCTGCTGTGTGAAAAAAACTTGGCAATTATCGACGTGTGGGTGTATCTTAAAGGTTACAAAATGTTCCAAACTCCCGTATTTCTCACCCGCGCTGTATGCGTTAGACTTTTAATTGAAGCATTTATAGCCCGTATTGCACATCTGGGAAACGTCAAGTCTCTGAGAAACGTACGCAGTCGCAAAATTACACACGTACACACACACACACACACACACACAGAAGTCGAGAGGCAAGCGCGAAATTACTGGACCAACGCGACATAATCAGAACATATTGCCGGTAGATAGGTCAGAAAATACGATAATTCCGATATCTCCTCTTCTTCTCGCGGCGTATAAGGAAATTTATATTCTCTCCTTCTGCTCCATATTTCTCTCAGACTCGGCATCCCTACCGTATCAGTTATCGATCGATCAGCGAACTGCAGATGCAGCGCGCGGTGGCTGCAGGTGCAGCCGCAAATCTCCCCGACAAAGCAGTGACTCAAGTCTCGATCGTGTCATCCCCCTTTTCACCCGTGCTGTCCCGA